CACTTGATATGGCTCCAGAGATGTCTGACACGTAACTGGAGTGTGTTCCAGAAGCTTGCTGAGCGTGGGCCTGGAGAGAGTTGCAGATGGGCATCTCCATGGAGCTCCTGTGCACTATTCTGCTGAGGTAACACTGAACTTAGCTTGGGAACGGCATCCAAAGGAAAGACTCAACGTAACTCTGGATTGTGTTCCAGAGACGTCATCTCATGTATAACTTGACTGTGTCCCAGAGGTAATACTCAATGTGGCCCTGGAGAGCACTCCAGAGGTGAATCTTGGTGTTGATTTTCAAAGTAAGGAAATGTTGATGTGTATCTGACTTAGCTTTCGGCAGCATCCCTCAGTGCAATCCTGGAAAAGGTTCCTTAGTGAACATCGATCTGGATATGGTAGGCATACCACAAGGTGTTGGTAAAGAAGACTGAAAGTACAAGAGACCACGAGAAGCAGCAAAACTCTGTGTTGGAGCGACACCCAGGACGCGCCTTAGAAGAGAGGAAGGCAGACTTCTTGTCTAGTACTTCCCACCTGTCATCAGGAAGGGCCAGGGTCTGGAGAAGGTCATCATGCTTGGAGAGGGTCAGTGAAGAACAGGAAGCTCTCCAACAAGGTTGGCGGACCCAGTGGAGTTGGGGCATGAGAAGTAAGCAGCGTAATGGCTTCTGGTATCACTCTGCACGTGGAACTGGGACTTTGCAATGGGCTGAGCGGAAGTGGGGGACAAGGAAGGATGGGGGCCAGGTTCCTTTAGGAGGAAACTGGTGACTTTCAAAAGAAAAAGACCTGCGGGGTACCCTGGGGGGTCTCCAAGGAGTTGTCTGTCCCTGGGACTCCTACCTGGATATGGATACCCCATCCCATCTTCACTCACCCTGAACCTCAGTTGGCCCTTCCTCAGGGGGAGAAGCCGTACATGATGCCATCTTTGTGGCCCTGGTCAGCGATCTCCTTCAGACAGTGCCCGGCAGCGGGCCCAGGGGGCACCAAGGGCCTGCCTCTGAAGTGGCTTCCTTGCCTCAGTCCCTTCAGGCCCTGGTGCCAGCCTGGGCATGACAGGAGCTCCCAGGTCCCTGTCACCATGAGGTGGGGACATCTGTGAAACATGATTATCCTGGGGTGAGGACTGACTAGGGGGGTCCACAGAGCCTGCAATCCCCTAACTTTGGCTAGGACAGGTGCAGGGGTTATCACTGGCTACTCCTGGACACATGGACAGAAAAGCCCTTGTGGAAGTGAGAAATCATTCTTCCCTTGGCACGGCCTGGCCTAGGATTGGCCCACCAGGCCCTGGACCAGCCCACTATTCAAGGCCATCCTGGCCCTCTAGCTCCTCTCCTGCTTCACCTCCCACTGTCCTCAGAAGAGTGTGCAGCGGACAGGGATGACCGGGCTCAGGGGCAGGGCTGCATATAAGCACCTGTGGGACCTACCTGAGGATGTGGGAGGGGCTAGCACAGCAGAGGGTCATCAGTGTTCCTGTCAGTGATTTGGCTAGGGTCATAGGGTGACTGCCCCACACATGGTAAATGTGCAGCAAGCCGGCCTGGCTGTGACCAACAGTTCCTTCCCTAAAGTCATGGGTATAAACTGGAGTTCCCACACACCTAAGCTATTAGGGAGGTTGGGGCATGGACATGAACAAGGTCCTTTCCTAGGATACACCTACATCCCAGTCTCCAAGGTGCCCAGCATGATAGACTGAGACCCATCCTCCTCGAGGACCCCAGTGATGGAGACATTGTGGGGAAGGCGCCTGGGAGAGCCCTCAGTGCTAGCTGGGAAGCAACGCCACAATCACCATCCCTCCACTTCAAACCACCTCCGGGAATCCTGTTGGCTGCCAGCATCTTTCAGCCTCACCAGGTCTGCCCTCCTTTCCGAGACTGGGTCGCTATGAAAAGGACCGGGGCCCCATTTGACCTGGGAGGGTGGGGCTGCTCAGGTGGGCTAACCCTGTTGACCTGTGCTAAATCAGCTTACCAGGGACCACCCTGTTGCCTTTCGTTTATTTTTGGCAAAGGGTAGCCAGAGCCTTCTGGGGTGAGGGCTAGTCTATTTTCTGAACCTTTTTGAAAAGGTCAAAGCCCTGGGTTTCTGGAGACAAGAAAACACACTGGTGTTTTGAGTGTCTCCGCTTTAGAGTGTAGGGACCTGGCTACAGGGATTCTAAGTTCTGTTGGGCTCGATGGCCAAGGAAGTGAGGTCACATCCTGGGTCCCAATTATTGATGGGTGTTTGCAGCTGTTGCTCTTCATTTTGAGTTGTGTCCCATCAGTAAGTGAAGGTCCTGAAAGTTTTGCTACATTTGCACGATTAAGGGGAACTCTGAGCAGGTAGTTCCTCCCCAGTTCTGTTTTTGCCTTCCCACCTGAGGGGCTTCTTTCGCACAATGCTCTGTTGCTGTTCAGTCTTCAGCAGCTCGACATTCACATGTAATCTACCTCGTCTTCCTAGTCTGTCAGCTCTGCTGAAACGCATCCAACACGGTGACCCCACTGATATTGAAAACACCAATGCTTACCTTCCAACATCACAGCAGCACTTATGTCAGTGTGACGAGATGCTGGTGGAGGTCGGGAATTGTTAGGTGTCACTGAGTCACTTCCGACTCGTAGTGACTTTATGAACAACAGAACCAAACACTGCCCTGTGTCCTGCAACACCCTCACAACTGTGTTGCTGCCACCATGCCAAGCCCTGTCACTGGAGGGGAAGGGGTCTTCGTCTTGTTCACTGACTTAGGTGATTTGAGGCTCCACTGGACATGATGTCCTTCTCCAGGAACTTATCCCTCCTGATATGTGTAAAGTATGACAGACAAGGTCCGGCCACCCTGGCCTCTAAGGAGCACTCTGGCTGTACTTCTTCCAACACAGATCTGTTGGTTCCTCTGGCGGTCCACTGTAATTCTGAAATTCTGCTCCAACACCGTAACTCAAATGCAGCATCAATTCTTGTCTTCCTTATTCACTGAATCAACAAAGGTGATGCTGACTCTCTCCCTCTTCTGAAGGTAGATATGGTCTGATGCTGTACCGTTTTCAGTCGCTTTCAGCTTGAATTCTCATTGCTTCTGTGGAGCGGCAGCCCTTGGAGTAGGTAAAGAAGGTACGGGATGTCCATTTTCTTGGTTTTTTTCTTATTCAACATGGTTTCGCGAGTGCCCATGTTTATCCAGTTTCCTGCTGAGGAGTACGTACGTACTCTATGGTGTGAGCATGCCAGTCCTTTTTCCCCCAGCCACTTACTGATCAACAAAGACCACCAGAGTCCTCACACCCCCTCAGACCTGGTAATAAAGGTAATGCTGACTGCAGTATGCAACAGCCTCGACGCTCGAAGTTATTTTTAGTAGTCAGGAGGATTTCTAACAACCCTGTTCTTTTAGGATGCCTCCCTACTGTATCACATCCAAACTGTGGACGTTGCTGTGAAGTGCCGACTTTAGTATTTACATTTCATTCCCTGTCACCATTCTCCAGACCCTAGGCCTGGCATGAAGACATCCATTATTACTGGGGCTTCGATATGGGGGGAAACAGACCAGGTCTCCAGAACGAGAGCTCTGTGGGGCAGAGACATGGCTGCTTCCGATAACCTGGTGCTGAGCAACTGAGTTGTTTGTCTGTGAAGTTGACCAACACTGCCTTAAGAAACACTTTTCTTACAAAAAATATACCTTAAGGAATACGTTTATAGTCTTTGCAGAGAAAAACTGTGGGAAAAACCATTGTTTAAAGAAAAACCACCTATAAAAAGAAAAGCGTCAAACGTGACCTCCATTTACTTCTGCTACACATCAGTCTGTGACTAGTTTAGAGTTCACGTCCACCTAATAAATCATTTGCTTACTGCAGGGTAGTGAATTATTTAACGTCTAGTGTAATGGATTACGAAGCAGGCTGCTAACCAGTTCAAATCTCCCAGCTGCTCCATGGGAGAAACATGAGGCTTCCTGCTCCTGCAGCTTTACAGCCTCAGAAACCCTAAACAGGGTCACTATGAGTCGGAACCTACTCCACAGCACATCCCCACCACCACCACTTAATGGGAAAGTTCTGTTTTCTGATCCATGGAATCAGATGAGAGTTCCTTCAGGTTGAGACTTTTTATCAGTAACCCTGAGAGAGCTCTGTAATACTGCCTGGGGAGAGAGAGAGGCCCGCCTGTGGGCACGGCTGAGGAGACGTAGGACTGACGGGAACAACTGCCCTGAATAGCTTTTGTTCCATAATACGTCTCGTGTACTTCAGACATATTGTCAGGAGGGACCAGTCCCTGGAGAAGGCCCTCATGCTTGATAAAGTGGAGGGTCAGAGAACAAGAGGAAGACCCTCAATGAGATGGATTGGCATAGTGGCAGCAACAGTGATGAGGCTGGTGCAGGACCGGGCGGTGTGGGGTTGTGTTGTTGTGTTGTGCACAGGGTCACTCTGAGGAGGTAATGATGCAATGCACACAACACAACCAACACCTCCTTCCTAACGCACACATGGGAGCCTGATGTCTGAGGGCTGTGTGGTCGCTGCAATGATTCCTCAGAAGACAAGCAGAGAGGGCTGTGGCAGGGATGGCTCATGACGTATTTTGGAGTCTCTCTAAAAACAGAGGGAATTCCAGTTTGCTGTTAGGAACACCCAAATTATTTGACTTAAAAACACAGGACAAAATGATTCTGTTTGTAACTGCAAAAAGGTACAAGGAAAAAAAAAGAAAATGTCTACGCTCAAGATTTCACACGGAAATAAAAGAAAGTCCATTCATTTATGTTTTATTGAAGAATTGTGCCCACTTTTATCATTTCATGAGAATGAAGCAAGGAACAAAGGCAAGCTGAATTCTTCCTGGCAAGCTGCTGGCCACTGGGTAGACTCTGTGAGTGTGAGTCCTCACTGACCAGCACACAGAACCCTAAGGAGACAGTTCTGTGCACACGTGCCATGAGATTGAGATATTATACATAATTACAAGAGCGACTGTCGGAAGCTGAGGCCTCATCAGTAGGAGCGAATAGCAGGGGGGACTGTGGCACAATCAGTTTCATTTAAAGTTTTGTCAATCACGGGTCTGTATTCCAGAGTGACCTTGAAAAGAAAAGCCAGTCAGACGTTAGAGCAGAAACGTGCAAACAGCCATGTCCTGTACTACTTCTGAAAAATAAACTACAAACATATGCTTACAGACATCCAATCAGGAACTCAGCAAGAAAGGGATCCACTGGAGTGTTACCAGCAGAAAACTGAAGTGACCTACGTGTACATCAGAGCCCGGCTGTCCTTCACTGTGAGCCCGTAACGGCACACAGCCATCTAAGCAGCCGGGATACAGCTCAGTGCTTTACAAAAACACTCCTGTCAGGAAATCTAAGGGAAAACTTACATGCACTCATAGTTCAAATGTATGACCCCTTTTTCATACTGGTAAATAGCTATTTACATACATACACATATACTCACCTAAGGAAAACTATTCACACAGGAGGGGGCTTCAAAAAGTTCACGGAAAAAAATTCTATTATCTGTTAATTCCATTTTTCCATGAATGTTTTGAAGCTCCTCGCATACATACGATACCTGAAAAAACTTTCACAATAGTGATAATAATGGCTTATCATTGTCTGATGGGCTATAGAGGTTTATTTTTTCTCTTCTTTCTGTACTTTCTATAGTCACAAAAATGAACATGTCCTTTCATAATAACTGTAACAGAAAACCTCAACTCTGACTACATAGGCTTGTGCTATGAGGGAAATCTGACTTATACCATCAGAAAACGGCCTGCATGAGTGAGGAAGGCTCCCAACTGAACTAAGCACACACAACACACCAGGGACGACCCAGAGGCATGATGACAAGTCTACCCCTTTACCGGCTACAGAAAGCTTCCCGGTAAAACTCTCCATCTTGCCTAGTTCCAACACCAGATGGGTAAGGCACAGTGCAGCCGAGGCTGGTTTCTCTCTCCCTCATGCCCCCATCATCTCATCGCGGGCTCCCCTCTGTGCTGGCACCGTGCCCAAGTCGGGAGTGGGGGCCAGGGCCTCTTTCTGCTTCCTCTGCTCTGCCCACTGCGTCCCTCCCAGGACTCGGCTCTCGCTGGGTCCAGCTTCATCCTGGTCTCTGTCCTATGGACCAGGCCGCATGGACACAGTACAAAGCCCGCTCTTACCTTCCCGGTCTTGACATCGACGTAGGAGAGAGTGTGTTTTCTCCAATGCTCTGTAAACGGTTTCTTCTGCTGCCCCTGAATGGGCTTAGAGTAATCGTACTCATCAACCCGCACCTGCATCCAGAGACAGAATGTGCATCTCAGAAAGGGCCCCCATTCCCGAACAGAGCGACAGGAAGCATGAGGGCATGGAGACAGGATGCCTGGGACGGGAGGGTCTCCGGGAGACCTGAGGAGGTCTCTGTCACCACAACTGACTACTCGTAATCCGCATCTGTTCACCTCAACACTATGCACGCAGGTGACCTGCAGACATCCACAGCTGAACCGCTGACCTCACTACGCCCTCGCTCACCTTCCCTCGTGGTCTAGGCCCAGAGGCTCGTGACAGCAGGAGGAGGGAGGGGACCTGGGGTGGGGGTGGGGGCCCTGATGGAGCGCACCTTGTAGTCCTCCCTGGCATGGGCCCCACGAGACTCCTTCCGCGCCTCAGCCCCGTAAATGGTCTGCAGTGCACACAGCATCAGGTTCTGTAGCTCCAGGGTCTCCACCAGGTCGGTGTTCCACACCATCCCTCTGTCAAAGGTCCGGAGGTGCTGCAGGTCCCCGTAGAGCCGGCTGATCTTCTCGCAGCCCTCCTGCAGCACGTTGCCCAGGCGGAAGACCGCCGCGTGGCTCTGCATCGACTGCAACAGAGCCTGTCAGTCAGTCACGGGGAAGCCCAGGGTGCCCTCCTCTCCCTGCTGCGGCTGGATGCTGTTTGTCACATGGACAAACGAGGAACACAGACAACTGCTCCAGACTCTGACTTCAGAGCTGAGTTTGGATGAAAGCTCTGAGAACACGTTTGCATGTAATGAAGGAACCACATCACGGGCTGTGGAACTTTCCCATCTACAGCAGGTGCATTGTGGGACACAGTCAGGGCAGGCAACGGAAGCCATCTCCTTCTGAGCAGAGGAGTGGGCTGAGGGGAGCAGCAAGGGCCCAGCACTGAACTTGGCCCCGGTCAGAAGGCTGTCCAGGGGCCACACTCAGGTCATCAGCTAGTGGCAAGCTCCGTGGTGTGGTGGTCAGTAGCCTCACCCTGCGCGTGGTGGCTGGTGGCAGTCTCTGAGGAGGAGGAGGACAGGGCTGGATAGCTGCTGCCTGTCTTTGCCCACTTTCTCATGAGTTACTAGTGTTTAGGTTCTTTCTAACAGCTCTCGGGACGGAAAGGAAATTCGTCTGTCTTCCTGTTGTCAAGTATCTTTTACCTTTAATCTTTGGACTTTTGCTTTGTTGTTGTTAGGTGCCATCGAGTCGGTACCGACCCATAGCGACCTTATGCATAACAGAAGGAAACACTGCCTGATCCTGGGCCAACCTCACTACTGTTGCCACACTGAGTCCATCCATGCTGCCACTTGGCCAGTCCCTCTCGTTGACTTTTGCTAGCACAACTGAAAATGTTAGTCTCATCCTTGTGAGATTTAATTTGGCATAAATAGGTGGTGGTTGTTAAGTGCCATCAAGTCGGTTCTGACTTTATACCAACCCTGTATAGGGTTTCTGAAGAGCCGCTGGTGGATTTGAACCACTGACCTTGTAGTTAGTAGGTCAGTGCTGACCCTATAGCACCACACTAGGAATCCATAAATGAGGCAGCAACCCAATTTTATTTTTCTCATGCAACTGGAATTCAACATCTGTTCTTTCTGGGAGATACTGCATGTTTTGGGCACAAAAGCAGAAAGTCTGCTTCAGAATTACTGTATGGTGATGAAGGAAATCAAGGGAACCCATAGCGTGTACGAGCTGAATGACCACCTGGCTTTGAGAAGCAGGTCACAGTTACAATTTAGCACCAGAAACAACAGGACACTGGTTGTCACCATAGCATTTTGTGGGGCTGAGACAAGCACATGAGCCTGTTTAAGACCAGTCTCCTCCAGCCCCAGGGCAGGAGGAGACACCGCTGTCCTGGCTGAAAACTGGTTCTTTACCTTCTGCATGTTGAGCCGAAGCTCTGAAGTCCTTATGTTTCCATTTGCAAATCTCAGCTTGTCCAGATTCATGACAGATGCTTCCCCAGCATTCGCTTTAATCGGGGGAATTTTATCTCCTAAAAATAGAAAAACAGCCAGGCTTTAACGTTTGTAAAACCAGCCTTTAGAGAAACCATGGATCCAGGATGACAAATGTGTCCCACACACCAAGAAGCAAGTGTGGAAAGGCAGCAGTAAACAGCCCACTAGCAAGGAGCCAACCACCTACGTGGAGCCGAACAGTGACGATGACCTCTGGCACTGAAACAGTACACTGAGGCGACAGAGTGACGCTACACTGACGACATCTTCCAGGTTGTACGTCAGTCGTAGGGTCACATGGGACACACACATGCCTGGTGTCAGGACACAGGGCACTACTCATCATCCCGCTCCGGGGTGCGTAGCGGCCAACACCAATGACTGCAAGCTTCTACGTCATCACGTCTACCCATTTAGGGCTCATCCAAACAGACTGGGGCTCCAAGTTGTAGTGAAATGATGCTTTCTACCTTGGTTGTTTTTGGTCAACAGCTTGATTTTCCTGTGGAGTTCCCTGTGCCCTTGTTTTCTATCCCAGAGGGTGTATTTTCCTCCAGGTGCATAAACATTTCCTGGGTAAGCTGTCACTGGTCACCTGGCTCTAGGCTGCACCCTGTGGGAAGGGTCAGCAGACCTTGAAACTGACCAACCCTGCTACCATATGCACTCCAGCCCACCACGGTTAGTAGAGAGGAGGGAGAGAGGCAGGAGGGGAGGACGTGGGTCCAGGCTGTCACAGGAAGACACTTGAGACCTGGGAGGTCTCTGCAGAGGAGCCACGGGTTAAGGACATTAAACCTGCTAGGAATGCAGCTAAGAGCTGCCACCGCCGCTGCTTGCATGGCCATGACTGAGAGCTGTCCTGCACTGGACAGAGGGGTGTGCGCTTGTCTTCGGGGAGCCTTCCTCACACTGGTATCCCCCTGCTACTTCCTTAATAAACCGCCTAGCTGTACGCAGGGTCTGTGAGTTCAAACCCAGTGGGGAGGTGTCATGAGCAGCTTTGAGTTGCTCCTGGTCTTTCTCAACCCCGAAGTTATTAGGTTCTGATGCTACAGTGACCCCAGGGAGTTCAGGGGAGAATGTGAGGACTACAGTGGGACAGCGACTCCCCACCCATCTGGTCCCGAACAAAGACACTTCAGAAGTCAGAACGTTAACTGGACAATACAGTTTTCTCCTGCGCCTTACCCAAGTCTCCACTCATACACACAAGTCCACGCTGTTGTTGGAAGGAAAGCCAGGACCTAGCCCTGTGTCTGCATGAAGGCACCTCCTTCCCTTAGTAAACAGTCCCGTTCCCCTTGTAGACAGAGCCAGCCTTCCGTATTTACCAACAAGTTACACAGTCACCAACTGCAATAGCCGACAGCCCTCACTGGGCACAAACGCCGTCCACCCAAGTCTCCTTGTAGGTGAGTCAGAATGGGTGCAGCTGGTTCAGATCTACCTAACGGGAATGAGGGCAAGGGAAGGCTGGAGGCTGTGCTGATGATAAAGAAGCTACAGGAGCCGCAGGGGAGGTGAGGGTGAGGAGGGTTCGCTCAGGCAGGAGTTGGGTGAACAGTGTCCCATGAAACCCACTGCTCGTGTGGATGCTGACTTGTAGCAAGCCCTAAGCCCTTACAGAGGAGACTTGCTCCCCCAGTGTACACTGTAATGGGAGCAGACTGTCTCACCTGTCCTCCTTAGAGCAGCTGCTGACCTGGCAGTTAGCAGCCCAATGTGTGCAACCCACAATGCCACCAGGCTCCCTGAAACGTTTACAGGGAGGGAAAATGTTCCTGAACAGCAGTGACCCCCGACTCTGACTGTGTAGCTGTCCAGCCTCCCACTCTGGGCTCACTCTCTGCTCCCGACTCTTCCATGCCAGGCCTCAGCCTCACCCTAACTTAACAATTCAGGTCCTGTTTGCCTTCACCGGCCATGCTGGGGTCCGTCTCAGTCGGTCCCAACACCAACATCAAACTAACTCCACAGCTGGTGACGGTGACTCCTATTCAGAGGACAGCTGCCCCGTGGGGTGTCCACGGCTTCAGTCTTTAACGAAGGAGACTGGAGCAGCTTTCTTCTGCAGAACTGCCCACATAACCCCTGCAACACCAGGGCTCCTGGGATCACTTTACAGCTTAAAGGACCGATCCTATGTAATGATAATAATAAGGAAACCCAGTTGTCATTGAGCTGATGCCGATTCATGGCAACCCCTGGTGGGTCCCAGAACAACTGTGCACCACATGATTTCAGAAACAGACGGTCAGGCCTAGACTCTGCAGAGCCTCTGGGTTCGGTTCAGTCAGCAGCTGAGCACTTAAACCATATGTACCACCCAGCAGACGCACGATGACACGAAAGCACGCTTCATCTCAAAATCACCCTTTCTCAGTAGCGACTTTCTGAGGTAAAACAATGCACATAGAGAAAACTCCTGACCTCCAATGCAGACTTTTCTAAGTCTGATCCAGCCCCCCACCAGTCTAGTTTGAACGCTACAACTGTGGAGTGATCCCTCTGCCCCCTCACTTCTGGAACAGCCCAGAAGCCCACCTACAGCTGATGACGGTCACGCAGCTCTCCTGAGGATGGCACCTACCGGGTTTGCAGAACTCTGCGATACTCAGGGCGCACGCACGGCCGAAGACAACCAGGTCCAGGAGAGAGTTTGCCCCGAGGCGGTTGGCACCATGCACCGAGGCGCAGGCTGCCTCCCCACAGGCGTACAGGCCGGGCACGACCTGGTCCTGCCCATTCACGTGCTTCAGAACCTGCACAAGGACAGTCAGGGTGAGATGCTGTCTGCAGTGTCCGTTCCCAAGTTGTCTTCAGGGCGTGTGGGCGCATGGACATGCCATGGCCAGTCCTCCCAGGACTGCTGCTCCCTCTGCCTGAAGAGGACCCTCCAGCCTGGATCTGGACCCCCCTTCCCAGGCTGTGACCCGAGGTCCCACAGAATATAGCACAGGAAGATGAGTCGGGAGACTGAGCTACTTCAGACCCCTGGCTTTCACTCGTCAGTGGCTGCGATAACACGAAATAAAGTGGGTGTCAGCCACACGGAGACCCGACTTTTAAAGGCCCTTCTACACGGTCACATAAGGAGCTGTGGTAGCGTAGTGGTTACGAATCAGGTTGCAAACCTCAAGGTTGGCAGTTAGAAATTTCCATCCATTCCGCGGGAGAAAGATGAGGCTTTCTGCTCTCGAAAAGATTTACAGCCTCGGAAACCCTGTTCAGGGTCACTATGAGTCCGAACCACTACCAAAACCACACCGTCACGTACGTCAAGACATGGTTACAGGAGAGTAAACACAAGCTGCCAACAAAAGCACACCTAGGGCTACATTCTAGGGGGAATTCACAAATCCTGACGACAAATTAGAGAGCAGACGGACAGACGGGCACAGCCTGGCCTCTCCTCCGCCTGTCTCTGCTCTGATGAGCAGGCAGCACTGAGACCCCTTCCCCCCTGCCGTCACCTGGCCCCGGAAGTTGGTGGGGATACCGCCCATGTTGTAGTGCACCGTGGGAAGCACAGGAATGGGCTCCTTGTTGACATCCACGCCCGCGAAGATCATGGCTGTCTCGGAGATGCCCGGCAGGCGTGTGGCCAGCTGCTCAGGGGGCAGGTGGTGCAGCTGCAGGTAGACGTGGTCCTTCTCAGGGCCACAGCCCCTGGGGGAGACAGGACACGGCAGACATGCCCGATCAGGCATACATAACACACTAAGAGTTACAGTTCATTATAGCACATGAGACACCAAATCACCCAACCACATGATTTCTCCTCATTTATCAGCCAAACAGGACTCATCATCTCAGGGAGCTGTTTCTCCGAATGTTAGCTGCTATAAAGAGCAAAACCAATGAGAACACTAACCTACAACGAAGCCTCGTCAACTACTGCCTTGTAACGTTTCAGAGATACTGCATTCTCAGTTGTGTCAATGAGCTCTCCTATACAGGACAGTAGCCAGTCCTTTATGAAGGGTTACACAGTGTGGCCTTCTTAAACAAAGTCTTTATAAAACAAGAATCTGCTGACCTGGACACGCACCACACTGAGAGTTTCCCGTGCACGTGGTACCCAGGATATCTGCTGCCTACGAAATAGGGGCCCGTCAGTGTGGGACTGTAGGGTAAGCACAGGATTGCTAACCGCTTCTGGAAACCCTATATGGGGTTGCTCTGAGTTGGAACCAACTTGGTGGCACATAATGACGACAAAACCAGATGAATACAAGAGTGACAACGCTACATTCTAGAAGAGAAAACGACATTCCATTCTCATCTAAAATCTAGAAAGGACCATTCAACCAGCAAACACTTTCTAAGTATCTACTACTGTATGAGCCCAAGGGGCGTGCTGGCTCTATGGGATAAGCACTGGACTGGAAACCACAAGGTTGGCAGCCTGAGCTTTCTGCTCCCTCAACAATTTACAGCCTTGGGAACCCTATAATACAGGGCCACTATGAGTCGGAAGTGACTCAATGGCACTTGCAGCACAATTGTCTTAAGTCCTGGTGTGGCGCTGTAGGATAAACCCTGGACTGGTAATGGCAAGGTCAGCAGTTCAAACCCACCTGCTGCTCTTGGAAACCCTATACAGAGTTGCTGTGAGTCAGAACCGATTCAACAACAAACAACAATGACTATATTCCAGGAACTGTTCTAAGTACCAGGTAGAGCGTGATGAAGCAGCAGACAAAACCCTTGCTGCCCTCACTGGGACTTTCACATGAGCTTTGAGGGAAACACAGTTTGTTACATTTTCCTTGATAAATGCACCAGAAAGCATACCAAGAACACTGAGGAATCATTTGCTGTATCTCCGCTTTCTGCTCCAGTAAAGATTTATAGTCCCGGAAACCCTCAGCAGGGTCGCTATGAGTGAGTTCAGAAGCGACTCCGCAGCACACCACCAGCAGCACATTTCAAAAGGAAGCGCCATCCCACAGATACCCGGCAAGAGTTACTACATGCAAGGGGCAGTGCTGAGCACCCAACAGCTGAAAGCTGATTCTGAAGGACAAATACCCAACTCTCCTCGCAAAGCCCATCCAAACACCTGAGGGTATTAGCCATATACAACAGGTGGGCTCGTGGGCTAGTTAGCCAGGTCGTGGGGGTGTGGAGCTGGCCCTCCTCTCCCCAGCACCAGCTTCACATGAGCCATATACTCTTCACGTGCCACAGGCTGGAGAACAATTTGCATCACTTTAGTTAGTATTCTGAGAATCTTCATACTCAGGCACCTGTCCGCGGGCCTCCTTGGAGTAACCATGCATGCATCTACACATACACACCTGGGCAGCTATGTTAACTGTCTGAGTGGGCAAAACAATCACACAAACCTGCCTTCCCGGATTTCCAGTGTCATGGAGCGAGACACGACATCTCTGGAGGCCAGGTCCTTAGCGACAGGGGCGTATCTTTCCATGAAGCGCTCGCCCTGACTGTTAATCAAGATCCCTCCCTCTCCACGGCAGCCTTCTGTGATGAGGCAGCCAGCACCGTAGATGCCTGCAAAATACCCGATTACACATTTAAACCTAACAAATGCACTACACTGTCCACATGACTTTGTTGGGGACAGAGGAAAGAGTATAGAGAGGGCACGGCACTGCAAACAGGAGCCCTGGGAGTGCAGTGGGGTAAGTGTTGGGCTGCTAACAGAAGGTTGATGGTTCAAACCCCGGCTGTTCTACAGGAGCAAGGTGAGGCTCAGTTTTGCTCTGTACTACAGGGTCACTGGGAGTTGGCACCGACAGCAGTGGAGGTTTTCTGTGTACACACACCGGAACAGGAAAGCCAGGAAGGCCCAGCAGAAAGTCTCCATCACAAAAAACACCTACCAAGAAAGATGCCGTGAAGAGTGGGGCTGAGAAGCGGTGTATGGGTGTGTGCTGTTGCCACTAATGATGAACAGAGATCTGCCACATACTTAGCTAAAATGTCTAATTCTGACTTTGTAGGGCCAAGTCTATGTCAAAAGTTTCAAATTTTAATTTTTGGACCGTGAGACTGGTGATGACTTTAGATATGAAGGGACTGCTTGGAAAACTCACATCTAAAGTACCACGCAGCAATTCCTCAGAAAGAAACAGAGGTACCTTATGACCCAGCCATCCCTGTACTTGGTACATATCTCCACAAGAATACACGCCAGGACATGAGTAGGTACCTGCACAGCCATGTTCAGTGCACCACTAATCACAACAGTAAAATAATGGAGACAGCTGGAGTGCCCAGCAATGGAAGAATGGATACACAAACAGTGGTACCGACACACAAGGGAATACTAAACAATGCTGGACACTAACGACGAATCTGCATAACACTCATAACTTGATCCTGGACGACAGTATGTTGAGTGAAATTAGTCAATCACAAAGGACAAATAGCATAGGAGACCATTATCATAAACACTTAAGAAAAGGTTTGCAGATTAAAACATTTGTTGACGGCTATCAGGGGTGGGGAGAGAGAAGAGTAACTCGGAGGTTAGAGGGAGGACACATGCTAGCTCAGGTGATGGGGAGGGCAAGAGAGAAAGAGGGAGGGTGACAGAAGAGAAGTCACAGACACAGGGAGGTAAAGCTGAGCTCAAGGTGAGGGTGATGTGAACAGCGATCTAGACACAACCTCGGAACAACAGTGGATATGAACAGACACAGGGAGCGAGACCAACGCAGAAAGGATAAGGGAGGCAAAGTGGGATGTTTAGGGTTAGACTGATATAGCCCATCAATATACTGAGTTTGAAAAAGGCAAAAGGCACATTCTTTGATTGTTGACAGGGGTGAGAGGGAAGGCAGAGTAGTTCACTGGCTAGAGGGTAGACACATGTTAACTCGGGTGGCAGGGAGGGCAGTGTGCAGGGGGGAGGGCAGTGTGCAGGGGGGAGGGGAGCATGCAGGGGGGGAGAGCAGCGTGCAGGAGAGGGGAGGGGAGCATGCAGGGGGGAAGAGCAGTGTGCAGGAGAGGGGAGGGCTGGCAGAGGAATGATGAAGACAGGTGAAGGTACAGGGAGGTATACAGGGCTGAGGGGCTAGAGGTAAACAGTGACATAATACAACCTTGGAACAACAGTGTTTTGCGGGTAGATACATGGACCGAGACACGTGCTGATTGGGTATGAGAGGAAGAGTAGAATGTGTATATGTATACATGTATGTGTATATATGTAGAGAGAGATTGTCCTGGTGGGGTGTTGTAGAATAAGTGCAGGACTGCATGGTCAGTTTGAACAGGGTCAGCAGTTGAAATCCACCATCTGCTCCCCGGAAATCCTGTCCTCGACAGGGTCACTATGAGTTGGAACCGACTCGACAGCACTTAACAATAACAAATGACCTTGTCTGTAAACTTTCACTCAATTCACAATAAACAGTTAAAAATTTAAAGCATCATGCGGCTGCTTCCTGACAGTTAACACTTGCATCACACGGGCACAATTCTAGTAATTTACAGATTTTAACTCCTTTAACGTTATGACTGCAGCTCAGCTCCTTTCAAATGACCTCCATGTTCATAGATGGGCCAATGAGAGCTAAGTATGCTGGCCCAGATACTGAGCAGGGTGGAGCAGAGCCCATACCCCGGCCCGATCAATTTGGTGAGTCCGAGCCCGTAACCATGAAGACCTGGACAATGTGGAGAGTCTGCGCCCGTAATCACCATTTGCTGTGGGAATAACGAGAAACAAGGAGCCCAGGCTCTTGAATTTTAATAAACAAGACGGAAAAAAATGAAGTGTATCCTGAAAGCCCACCTGCCTCAGTCCATACAGGGTTGGCAACTCTGGCATTTCTCCTGCCTCTCAGTGCCCCTAACGTCCTTGGCCCATTCCCAGTGGCTTATTTCTCACACACTGAAAGGCAACATAAGCAGAGCAGCTCTGGATAAGTCCCAGCGAGGGACTCAGCAGCATCTCAGGACAAACAGTCTTTACACCGGGGACACAGGAAGACGGACTGATGCCCAGAGGAGGCCTGGCTTCTGAGCACCAGGGCCCTCCCTGTATGTCACCGCACAGGTCTCAGTGTGGGTCAGAGACAAGAGAAACTTGACAAGGGCAAAGGCTGCCGTTTAGGGTGCCTGGGGTGAGTGAAAGCGAGCTGGGCTCGGTCTCTAGGCCGCTTTTCCTGCCTCTGGACCACACTCCCAGCTCCCAGCGCCTGTATGAATGACATGAACCTCCCACCTGGAGTCCTCGATGCAGCCAACGCTACAAGCACATCCCCCACACACTGGTCTGTGCCGTCCTCAGCTTGTACACCCGGCAGAGCCGGAATCCGGCCCGGAGCAGTGTGAGGAGGGCCACACCTCAAGGTCGGGGCAGAAGGACCGAGGAAACGACATTTATATGTGCACCCAAGACAAAGAAAGGGTGCTGGAAGGCCTCTACCCTACCCGTGGGGTGAAACTGGACAAACTCCAGGTCTTGGCAAGGCAGGCCCGCTCTGGTGACCATGGCCGTCCCGTCGCCGGTGCTGGTGTGGGCAGATGTGCAGCTGAAATAGGTGCGCCCGTAGCCCCTGGAGGAAACACAAGCCCGTCAGTACATCGCTGCAGGCACTGCAGAGGGCAACCAGCAGAGTGACCCAAGGAAAGATTAATGTCAAGTCACATGACCATGGGCCAACCAGTGAATTGGGACTTGTAACCTCCTGAACTTGAGAGGACTGCTGGTGTGGTACTGTAGGACACACAATGAACTGTGAACCCTCAGGTCAGTGGTTCAGCGGTTCAAACCCACCAGCTGCTCTTCAGTAACTCTTCACAGGGTAGATATGAGTCGGAACCAACTTGATGGCCCTCAACAACAAAGGTTTGTCAGAGGCACCGCTTGTGGTATTTCTGTTAGAACAATACTAACAAGGTGCAGACGAAATGCACCTGTTTTCAGCAGCAGGGACACTCACAGCGTGCATGAGAGCAGCTGCTATCTAAGGAGCGTGCCAGGTGTCTCTCCTGGCCGGCTCCACCTGACCCTGCAGACCTCCAGTCCTGGACCATGTGACCATCACTAATACCCAGGGTCCACTGGTGCTCTGCGGTCCCCTGCCCAGTGGAGGAACTGAAGCCAGGAAAGGTCATTATCTACCATGCAGTAACACTCGTGCTCTGAATGGGAGAAGGCGGCTCTGAGACAAGCCTGGGACAGCAGCGATTAGACCCCTACCCGGTAGCAATGACAGTGTTCTTGGCACGTATGCGATGAATGGAGCCGTCTTCTATGCACAGTGCAATGACCCCACAACACTCCCCGTTCTCCATCAGAAGGTCCAAGGCAAAATACTCAACAAAATAGCTGGTGTCGTATCTCAGAGACTAAGAGAAGAAACACAAATCCACATTTTCAGTTCCCCCCAAGCTGAGTGTTAACCCAGCATTTTGAGCGATGCTGAGCTGAACGGGTCAAGAACTGCATGTCCTTGTGTACCAAGCAGGTTAGGCAAACCCCAGGGTAAACATCAGGGCTTAGGAACACAGCCATGAACATTGAAACATCACCAACTGTGCAGAAAAGGCATTTTACACTGGCCAGAATGCTGGCGTATCAGCACACTCCAGCCTCACCTACACCTTAAGGGTGCTAGTGGCCACACTGGCCAGCAGCTGTGAGCTGGACAGTGCAGAGGACACATCCACTGAGAGAGGACAACCTTGCACACAGGCTGAGCAGACGGGCTGTCTGCACGGCAGAGGACTCGGCTCCAGGCAGCCGCCTGCCCAGTCAGCCCACTGAGGGCGTCCATGCCAAGTCCGCCTGACCACCCAGTGACTGCAGTCCAGCTCTCACTGAAGGCAAGTCTGCTCTGATGGGACACTTCCAAGATAAGAAATTATAAGTTTCAAACCTAGCCTGTGGTTTTCCAAAACCACAAGTTGTCAGCTGTTTGCAGGTGCTGCTCAGCCACCCTCCTGCCCACCCTCCTGCCTGGGGTGCTCCCATCTCACCCGGCCATACAGGGTGTGCAGTAGTGAGTGGCCAGTCCGGTCAGCCACACAGCAGCACCGGTGGGCCTGCCCGCCCTTCCCAAACTTGAGGCTCTGTCCACCAAATGCGCGCTGGTAAATCTTCCCATCTTCCGTTCTGCTAAACGGCATGCCGTAATTTTCCAGCTGTGAAGAGAGGAACCACTGCCAACAGCAGCCCGGGTGCTTGTGGATGACTTAGACACACTGTCACACAAAGCCACACGGTGCAAACGTCAACACGGTAGGAAAGGGGAAACGGTTCTTTCCAAATGATTGGAATAGGCACCAACTGCCTATGGTACACCAGTTAAGTCCCAGAATTACTGGGACAGCCCAGAGCTGGCTCCTCGGTCCCGTCTCCCCTGGCCTCACTGGAACACCCTGGTCCCAATACGTCACCTCGACCACTGAAGCGGGGGCCTGCTCTGTCATGTAGTGAATGGCATCCTGGTCCCCCAGCCAGTCGGATCCCTTCACAGTGTCGTAGAAATGCCATCTCCAGTTGTCCTCCTCCATGTTGCCCAGAGCAGCATTGATGCCCCCCTGGAGGACAGACAGAGCACAGCCCAATCAGTCCCCCGAGTCCTAGGGAGAAGACCGCTCGATGTTGTAGGTCACCACAGAGCCCAATCCTGGGCAGTTCCTTCTCTTACCTGGGCTGCGACTGTGTGCGACCTGGTGGGGAAGAGCTTTGTAATGCAGGCTGTAGTGAAGCCTGCTTCCGAAAGGCCAAATGCAGCTCGCAGACCTGCCCCACCAGCGCCGACGACAACTGCGTCAAATTCATGATCCACGACTGGATACTGAGCCGAAATCTAGGCAAGGAAAACCCACCTGTCAGCATCCCGGTCATTAGCGACTCCAGTGAAGCAGGAGTGAGTGACTAGGGGCGTGAGTCATGTCCCAAGGATGGCCCCTTGAATGGGGCTGAGCAGAAGGCAGGAGGGGACCGAGGCCCGTCTCAGAGAACAGGGCTCTCGAGAAAGCTTAAGCACCCAGGTCACAGGGCTCGTCCGCTCTGCTCCGGGGAGGGCGGGGCTGAAGCCACAACACAACTCCTAGGAGCAGCTCTCAGCCTTTCTTCCTGCTGGTCACACCCCACTCATGGCATGTGCTCGGAAGGCAGAGTGAGTTACATGTCCACACGCAATCCCCAAGTTTCTCCTGACAATATTTTGTTTCCTCTAGGTAAGTATACTCCAGCCAACCTCAAACAGGATCATCACTCGAGTCTGTGATCGCATCTGAGGTGTTGACAGGGACCGTGGCATTGTGGAGGCCACTTCAGAAGCAAACCCAGCTGTCTCAACAGAGAACCCATCACCCTCCCCAGTGAGTCCGTTAACAGCTGACCTCCTGTTGCTGTACTGATTTAAACTGACCCCTTATACGTAAGAACAATAACACCACTTTGTACACCACTGTCCTACGGGCACCACAATCAACAAATGCTGTTACACAAAAAAGCAGCCCTGATGGTGCAATGCTTAAATGACAATCAGCAGAGATTCCTTCCACTCTGCACAAGAAATGTCCTGATGATCTGCTGCCAAACGAGTTCAGCTAAGGAAACCCGAAGCAGCAGTTCTACTCTGCCGTCTACGGGCTCACCAGCACACGTGACACAGGAGGGAATCGGCCTGTGTCTAGGTGAGAATGTCTTCCTGTGAGAGCCCTGCATGGGACTCTCGGCTCCTCTCAACCCAAACACATACTTATAAAAAGAAACACAGAACCAGGGACTTACTGAGTCTGAAACTTTAGCAGATGACCGTTTGGTGCCGTCCACCGTGAAGTGAAAGCCACGTGCTCGGGCCAGGGAGGCTGCTGGGCACTGCTGAGACAGAGAGCAAACGAGCAGGCTGTAAGGGACATGCAGTGTGACTCTCACAGGGATGATTAACATGTCATGGTTACGTGTCCTCAGGTGGGGTCTGACTTAGAGCAACCCTTTTACAGAGTTTCCACCAACCACGCCGTTAGCTTTCCTGTGCTTATCCTTCAGCCAAACTGGGGGGTTCATTATTAGGATTCCCCTGGGTAGACTGTGTTGACTCAGGCACTGAGGTCGCCTAGAAAGTCCTAAGGGTTAGGACAGGGAGTCAGGGGACTGAGGGATGAAGGGGTATGAGGGAGAGAGGGAAAGGAGAGTGAGGAGAGAGACAGAGAGTTGGGTGGGCATGGGGGAAGGCTGTGACACAGAACTCCTCACCCCACCCTCCTCTCCAGCTGACTGGACTATAGGGAAATCTGTTCTGAATTCAACTTGTCTCCAAACACTGACATCTTCTGGAACCTCTGACTCAAACACAAAAGAGGCAGATTTCCACTGGAATTCCGGAGTTGAGGATATTTGTACAGACATAGGAAAACATCATCTCCTTTACCCCCATATGTGGGAGAGCTTTGCAAACAAGAAGGCCCTTCTCTGGATTTGATAGCTCCAAACATCAGCAGTTTGGTGGTCCCTTGAAAAAGGCATGAAGCACACAGCCTGAGTACACAGTGTGGGGACAGACCTAGACTCTGTACCAGAACTATTACTTTCTAGGACACCTGGCACCGAGGGAGGCACGGTTAAGGTGAGAATGGTGTGGCACTGAAAACTTTATGAATAGCAGGGAAAAATTCTGATATAGCGCTAGAAAATAAGGCCCCTCAGGTTGGAAGGCAGTCAAAATACGACTGAGGAAGAACTGCCTCTTCAAAGCAGAGTCCACCTCAATGATGTGGACAGGAGAAAGCTTTTGGGCCTTCATTTGTTGATGGGGCACAACTTAAAATGCAAACATGCACTAAAAATCAGAACGTATAACAGTATGAATCCAGGAATGCTGGGCGTTGTCAAAAGTGAAATGGAATGGATAAAGATCAATACTCTAGGCATTAGTGATCTGAGATGGACAGATATCAACCACTAATAATAGAACAATCAATAGTTTATTATACCCGGAATGACAAATTCCAGAGGGATAGTTACTTGCATTCATCTTTAAAAAGAGTATTTCAAAATCTATTTTGAAATCCAATGGTGTCTGTGATAGGATAATGTCTATCTGTCTATAAGGAAGAACTGTACCCACTTACCAATTTGTTCATTAGCCACTAAAGAGTGATGATGAAATTGAAAAATTCTACCAACTTCTTCAGTCTGAAATGGATCAAACATGCAATCAAGATATACTGATCATTACAGGAGACTAGAATGTGAAAGCTGGAAAACAAAGAGGATCTGTAATTGGAAAATCAGGCCCTGGTGATATTGCAAATACCTTTTTAACAACATAAATGGTGTCTATACACCTTGAATACACTGATGGTACACAGAGGAACCAAACTGACTCTATCTGTGGAAAGAGACAATGGAGAAATTCACTCTCATCAGTCAAAACAAGGCCAGGGGCCTTCTGTGGAAGAGACCATTATTAAGGTTCATGTGCAAATTCAGGTAGAAAGTGAAGGAAAAACAAAACTCCAACAAAATAAAATATAACCCTGAGTATATGAACTTAGAGACCATCTCAAGAACAGATCTGATTTGCTGAACTTTAATGACCGAAGAGCAGAGGAATGGTGGATGACACCAAGAATATAATCCATGAATAAAGCAAAAGGTCATTCAGCAAGCCTCTGAAACGTGCTCTTGAATGTAGAGTAGGTAAAGCAGATGGAAGAAATTTTAAAGGGCAGCTCGAGAAGACATAGTATTATAATGAAATGTGCAAAACCCCAAGTAAGAAAACAAAAGGCAAAGAACACACTCAGTATTTCTAAAGCTGAAAGAACTGAAGAAAAAACTCAAGACTTGGCAATGGTATGGGCAAAATACTGTATGATGTAGGAAGCATCAAAAGACGGGAGAAACTGAGTCACTGTACCAAGAAGAAGTGATTGATGTTCAACCATTTCAGCAGACAGCAAGTGATCAAAAGCGGCTGGTATTGAAGGGGCAAGTCCAAGCCTCCAGGAATTCACCAGTTGGAATTTTCCAACAAAGTCCTGCAGTGCTGGAAGCACTGGCCGGCAGCGGTGTGACCCTGGTACAGGAGCCGAAAGCCTCATCTTTGTGCCGTGGAGCAGCTGGCAGATTCCAACGACTGACCTTGTGGTTAGCAGGCCAGCTCATAGTCCACTAAGTTACCAGGGCTCCTGGGAAGTGCTCACTAGTCTATGCTAAAAACCTTCGAAGACAGTTACCTGACCTACCGGAAGAGATCCATATTTGTGCACATTCCAAAGAAAGGTCATCCAACAGAATGTGAACATATTTTAACAGTATCATTAATTTCACAAGCAAGTAAAATTTTGCTAAAGACAATTCAATTATGGTTGCAGCAGCACATAAACCAGGAGTTGCATAAAATTCAAGCTGATTTAGAAGAAGATATGGAACTAGGGATATCACTGCTGACATCAGGTGGATCTTGGCTAAAAACAAAGAATAACAGAAAGATGATCCTTTTATTGACTATGCACAGGTATTTCATTGTGTGGATCACAACAAACTATGGAGACCACTGCAAAGAATGGGAATATTCCAGAATACTGCGTTGTGCTCATGCAGAACCTGTACAGAGACCAAGATGCAGTCATTCAGACTGAACAAGGGGACACTGAATGGTTTCAAACCAGGAAACGTATATGTCAGGGCTGTCTCCTTTCACCATACTTATTCAATCTGTACGCTGAACACATGATCCTAGAAACTGGACTATATGAAGAAGCAGCGCAGCATTAGAGTAGGAGGAAGGCTCATTAACAACCTGTGATATGCAAACGACACAACCTTACTTGCTGCAAAATGAATAGGACTTGAAGCACTTGTTGACAAAGATAAAAAATACAGCCTTCAGTATATGGATTATAATTCAGTGTAAATAAAACAAAAATCCTCACAAAGGAACTAAAAAAAATCACAATAAACAGAAAAGATCGAAGCTGTCAAGGATTTCATTTTACTTTGATCCACAATCAATGCTCATGGAAGCAGCAGTTACGAAATCAACTGACAAACCTCTTTATGCACGAGACCACTTTATGCACGAAACCTCTTTCAAGTGTTCAAGAGCAAGCATGTCTCCTGGAGGATTAAGAGTGCTTGACCCGAGCCATGGCATTTTCCACAGTCTCATATCTGTGTGAAAGCAGGGTAAGGAATAAGGAAGGCCACAGAAGTGTGATGCCTTGGAATGAGGGTGTTCGTGAAGGATAGTGAAAGTACCTTGAGCTGCCAAGAACATATCTACCTTAGAGGCAGTAGAGCCAGGAAGCTCCTTAGAAGGGAGGATGGCGAGCCTTCATCTCATGGACTTTGGACATGTCATCAAGAGGGAGCAGTCCTGGAGAAGGACATCACACTGGTACAGTGCAGGGTCAGGGACACAGAGGAAGACCCTCAAGGAGATGGACTGACCAACACTGGGCTCCAACACAACAGACATTGTGAGGAAGGTGCAGGACCTATCATCAGAAGACAACTTGATCTCTTTGCAGAAAAGAATTAAAAGGAACTAAGATTTGTCTCCCTAATACAATTTTTTCAAGTGATATTTTGATAAAAAAGAGAGTTTTAATACAAAAAATGACCCTATACAGGGTTTCCACCACAGTCAGTGTGTTGTACTGTGGTGGCTTGTGAGTTGCTGGGATTCTGAGGGCTATGCCACCGGTATTTTAAATACCAGCAGGGTCACCCAGGGTGGACAGGTTTCAGATGAGCTTCCAGACAAAGACAGGCTAGGAAGGAAGAGGACGAACTACTTCCGAATATTTAGTCACTGGACACCTTATGAACAGCAGAGAAACACTGTCAGATATAGTGCCAGAAAACGAGCCCCTCAGGCTGAAGGGCACTCAGAACTGGGGAAGAGCTGTCTCCTCAAAGAAGAGTTGACCAGGCTGACGCCAAGGGAGTAAAGCCCGTGGGAGTAAAGCCCTCGGCACCTTCATTTACACAATTCAAAATAAAGAGAAACAGCTGAAAACATCCATTAATAATCGGAACATGGAATGTAACAAGTATGAATCTAGGGAAACTGGAAATTGTCAAAAAGGAAATGGAATACATAAAGATAGGTATCTTAGGCATTAGTGAGCTGAAATGGACTGGTATTGGCCATTTTGAATCTGAAAACACATGGTTTATTATACTGGGAATGACAAATTGAAAAGGAATGGTGTTGCATTCATCATCAAAAAGAACATATCTAGATCAGTCATGAGGTACAACGCTGTCTGTGATAGGATAATATCCATGAGCCTAAAGGGAAGACCAGTTAATACCACAATTATTCAAATTTATGCACCAACCACTAAGCCAGTGAGGATGAAAGAGAAGAATTCTACAGATTTCTTCAAACTGAAATTGATCAAACATGCAATCAAGATGTATTGCTCATTACTGGTGATTGGAATGTAAAGGTTGGGAGCAAAGACGAAGGATCAGTAGTTGGAAAATATAGCCCTGGTGACAGAAATGATGCTGGAGATTGCATAATAGAATTCTGCAAAATCAATTATTTGTTTATTTCAAATACCTTCTTTAGACAGCATAAGAGACGACTATACACATGAACCTCACCAGATGGAATACATAGAAATCTGCAGACTACATCTGCAGAAAGAGATGATGGAAACGCTCCATATCATCAGTAAAAACAAGGCCTGGGGCAGACTGTGGAACAGACCATCAATTACTCACATACAAATTCAAACTGAAGCTGAAGAAAATGAAAACAAGTCCACAAGAGCCAAAATATGATCTTGAACATATCCCACCTGAATTTAGAGATCATCTGAAGAACA